GAAGGTTTTGTGATTTTGTTTTTGATTTTTATTTTAAGACTGCAAACGAATGGGTTAGCATTGTTGTAAGGCTTGTTACATCATGTCTCGTCAGGATTAGAAAATTCAGAATAATTGCAAGATAAAAGGATATAATACTGCTACTTTTTAGTTGATACGGATTTACCCTGATAATCAAATCTGAAATACAGCTTAGGGACGTTGAACAGGAGAAAACAAGCGCAAAAACTGTAGCAGCGATAATATTGGGAGGGGGTGCAGGCACTCGTCTTTTTCCATTGACAAAGCGTCGTGCAAAACCAGCAGTGAGTAAATATTCCCTTTCTTGCTTCTCTTAACTTCAACAGAAAAGCTGAAACTCAAAATCGACAGGTTCCCATAGGAGGAGCATACCGGCTAATAGATGTATCAATGAGTAACTGCATAAACAGCGGCATCAACAAAATCTATATTCTGACACAATTCAACTCTGCCTCTCTCAACAGGCACCTTGCTCGGGCTTACAACTTTGGCAGCAGTGGCAACTTTGGAGATGGCTATGTTGAGGTTCTTTACCACCACCTGGCATAATACTTGTCAATTACAAATTTTTTATGTATGCGCCACTCAAAACAAGATAAAAAAATTCGTGTAAGGATAACATTTACATTCCCTTGCACATACCAAACACAGAGAGCCAAAAGATCATTAATACAGCTTTAACATTGTGGCTATTTCAATATAAAACACAGTTTCTGTAAAGCAACTCAAGCTACACATTAAATTACTTCAAATTGAGTTGCATCATTCATTTTAATAGATTAAGTAGCTCACTCTATAGAGGAACCATAAACAACCTTATATTAGGGAGCATTCTATTCATCTGATTTTCATTTATTTGAACTTTTTTATAGTTGATTGAACTTATTTTATATTAAATTAAACTTGAGTTTCCTTTATCCAAATATACGTTCCCTGTAATAAGTGGGGAAAAAGGCGAACAAAACAGTCTTATCCCCTCTTTCCTAGATCAAATTAAATCAAAAGAGAAAGCAATCAAAGTGAACAATAATGTGGAAACCTGACTACATGGTAGATGAATTTTCTTTTCTTCAGGTTCTTGCTGCCACACAAACTCCAGGCGATGCAGGCAAAAAATGGTTCCAGGGTACTGCTGATGCTGTAAGGCAGTTTGGCTGGCTTTTTGAGGTACATATGTTCCTGCTATCAGTAAATTGAGTTGAGATTTACATATGAAAATAGCATATTGAGTTTCCACACATAAAATAGGATCAAAGGAGTAAGGAAATTGAGGATGTTCTGATTCTTTCTGGAGACCACTTGTACAGAATGGATTACATGGACTTCCTCCAGGCAAGTAACTCTTTGCTCTGCTATCCTTCCACTTATATATATCTCTCTTCTTTCAAATAGAGATTGCTTCAATTGCTAATTCCAAGAATGCATATTCCTGTAAAATACAAACAATGATACATGTGTCCAATTACAGAACCATCGCCAAAGTGGGGCTGATATCAGTATTTCTTGCCTGCCAATGGATAACAGGTACCTTTTGCTGGGATCAAGAACTAATGAAGTTCAGCACATTTACTTTTCACATTTAGCACATGCATAATCTAAAAAAACAAAGCAGAACAGAAACCTAAGAAGTTACTCATTGCAAATTATATATAGCTGATTCTGTATTTCTGTGTAGCCGTGCCTCAGATTTTGGCTTAATGAAGATTGATGACAAGGGGAGAGTTTTGTCCTTCAGTGAGAAACCAAAAGGAGAAGATTTGAAAGCTATGGTAGCACTCGTAACTCAAACAGTAGCATCCGATTCTCAAGTAGATTAAATAAGGATATGTGCTAATAGCATTTATATGTTCCAGGCAGTTGACACAACTGTTCTAGGACTATCAAAAGAAGAAGCTCAGATTAAACCCTATATTGCATCTATGGGTGTATACATATTCAAAAAAGAAATACTTCTTAACCTATTACGGTAAAATTTACAGCTCCAATTTCTTTCCAAGCTTCTTAGCTTTTATATGTTCTGAAGATAGGAACACACTTGAGTATAAGCTTAAGGAGTGGGACTGAGCACTGTGGCTTTTTTTGGTAACTCAGATGGCGATTCCCAACTGCGAATGACTTTGGATCAGAAATTATTCCAGCTTCTGCTCGAGAATACTACACCAAGGTACAATATCAAGCTCTAGAAACAAAACAATAAGAATTATACCCCCTTAATTTACCTTAAGAAGCACCAACATGCAGATTTGACAAATAACTTGAACACATTAAGCAAAAGCTGATCCGACTATAGTATGTGATGCTTTGGCTACAACTTAAATTGCTCAAAATCAAGTCTTGCTTCAGCTTTAATGCTCATAGAGATATTATGTATGCAGGCTTACCTTTTTAACGATTATTGGGAAGATATTGGAACAATCAGATCCTTCTTTGAGGCAAATCTCGCCTTAACAGAGCATGTAAGTGTTGAGGTTGATGTATGATACCTGTACTGGCTTTCAAAAAGATAATCAACTCCTCTTTATTTCTTTCTACATTTCAGCCTCCGCGATTTAGCTTCTATGATGCAGACAAACCAATGTACACATCAAGGAGAAATTTGCCTCCTAGCAAGATCGACAATAGCAAGGTTAATTGAATATCTATAACTCAGTTTACACTTCCAAGGTGCTAAACAAACAATTCATAATATTTTTTATTAAAGAAAAAGGATAGAAAGGCTTACCTTTATTCTGCTTCTTTAGGTTGTTGACTCGATCATATCCCATGGAAGCTTCTTGAACAACTGTTTCATAGAGCATAGTGTGGTTGGAATCCGATCTCGCATCAACTCTAACGTCCACTTAAAGGTCAGTAATGGAGATCTACTTCTGCATGTACTCCATCTGTAACTTCTTTACTAAAAATAGAATATAGTTCACTGCAGCCATTTCTAAAAGTCTAATGTTCGCAATGTCTGATTTTACCCCACTATAAAGAATTTCTGCATCAAAGTGTATATAATATCCCCCTTCGCATGATATTCCTTATTTACAGCACATGACAAACTCTAATCTTCACCAATCCATTTAGAATGAATACACTTTCCAGGAAATAGTGAAGTAGACAGGATGTAGGAATTAAAGAGTCCATTCCAAGCAATGTTATTTTATACTATTCATTGTCATAAACAGCAGTTATAAGCCCCACCTAGATTATGCTTCAAAGTTTAAACCAAATAAACATATTTAAAAACTGATGTCTCTCGGATAATATGGTAGCGATTAGTGCCACAGAAATGGCTTTGCAGAATGACCTTGTAGATGTGACTATTAGATGATTGTTAGACTCAGAACTCTGAAACCCCTCACCCCACATGATGCAGGATACAGTAATGCTTGGTGCCGATTACTATGAAACAGATGCTGAAATTACATCACAATTAGCTGCGGGTGGTGTTCCCATTGGAATAGGGGAAAACACAAAAATCAAGTACAACTCATATCTTTGTTTCCTCTCACTCTATAATCATCCAAAAAAAAAAAAGGGTTTGCTCATTCTTTCTCGCGCTATTTCCTACAATATTTTTCAGGGATTGCATCATCGACAAGAATGCCAGGATTGGAAAAAATGTTATAATTGCAAATACAGAGGTAGAATCACCTCATCTTTTCTTTCGTTCCACCAGTTCTGTATATTCCATATTAGAAATCACCAGTGACAATAGTTGCAACAAGGAAAACTGATTTTTTTTTTTTCCCTTGTTAAACACACTGTATGTAAATAAAGTAGGGGCATAGTTAATAGTCAGACAAAAATAAAAGAAAAGACAATGGCTTTTTGTTTTTTTTTTTTTTTTTTTTTTTGTCATTCCCCTTCCCCATGTGTAGCCTAATAAGATAAGAATCACAAGATACTTCCTTTTTTTCCCTCATGGACAGAAGTGAATTCCATTTCATTCCAGAATTTTGTGGGAAGGATGGTTAAGCTTCATTAACATTCTCAAGAAGAAAGGAAGCAAAATTTAATCTTATTAGCATTTTTGGCACGATTTTTATTCTAGCCCTTAATATATAATATACGTCTGATTTTACAATCCTCCTTTTTTACAGGGGGTACAAGAGGCAGATAGAACATCTGAAGGGTTCTATATTCGTTCTGGCATCACCGTCATATTTAAGAACTCAACCATCAAAGATGGGGCTGTAATATAACAAATAATACCCCGCCAAGCCCTTCTTCCAGAAAGAGATATGAAGATGAAGGCCCAGAAATTATGTTAAAGACCATGGAACATCAGGGGAGATTTTTTTTTGTCTGCGTGCTGAGTAATGTCATGGATACTTCAGTAGCAAGTGAAAAGGCTACATTGTTGGCCAACTATCAAATTTTCCAATGGGAAACCAAAAGGCCAAAACTGTTCTTTACAAGTCATTGCTTAGTCAAAGAAGAGTACATACAACTCAATAGACTTCTAGTAGCTAGAATTTATGAAAGTTAACCATTTTCAACACTCCAAAAACAAGTGATTAATCGTTTACACTAATGTAGTCTTATGACTTTAGAATACCATAGTTTTTTAAAATGGACGGTTGAGATTATTTGTTTTTTGATTTATTTTTAATTAGTAATTTTAATTTAAATTAATTTTTAAAACTATTTTAAATATATTGTTATTTTCTAGAAATTATTTTTTAATATTTTCGAAATTTTTGAAATTAAAAAAAATATATAAAATAATTATTAATTAAAATTACTAATTAAAAATAAATCAAAAAATAAATAATCTCAACCGCCACATTAAAAAATTGTGGTGGTCAAAAATCATAAAACTACATTAGAATTTTCATACACTAAGAACATATATACACGTGCAAATCTATAACCAATATGTGATTTGATAGTGCATCATTCATTTGCTATCAAACAAACAACTAAGATTAAGCCTAGCATTCACATGCACATGTGGCAGAAAAAAGTGTAATCAAGTGAATGACAAACAATGAGAGCTTTAATATTTCTAAAATGCATTTTATTATAGCGCTTTGCACCCAAGTATATAAAATACTACAAGCAACAAAAGGGGGAAAAATACAAAAAAATACAAAAAGAAAAAAAAAAAGATATGACTAAACATAATACATTGAGCTATCACAGGAAGAGCTCTTCACAATTAAACTTCAATTCATGTTCAAAACGTTGCAAGACAAAATGTTCCTCTGGAGCTATAATACTTGTTATAATGCATTTGGCATCTGAGAATGGTTTCCTACCTGCCCTGCCAGCTCTATGTAGATAGTGCACTGCACTTTTTGGCAAATCAAAGTTGTATATATGTGTCGTCTCTGGAAGGTCAACTCCCCTTGCTGCTAGATCCGTCGCCACAATAAGATAGCAACTTTTTTTTCTAACCTCCTGAAATTCATGGATGAGTAATAAGCTTGTGAGATTCATAAAGAGCAAGGGCAGTCAAAACCAAGCAACGATGTTTGGCCAAGAATTTGAAAGAATAAACAAGCAGGAAGCTATGTAGCATTTGCACAGATGCTTATATACAGTTATATATGCCCCAATATTTTTACTAGATCTAGATTATGGTTAATAAGAATTAAGAATAATAGCTAACGTGATGGCTTTATTGATGGTTAAGCACATTATATTACTCTATCTGCTTCAATTTTAAACTGGAGGATAAGCTTCTTTCATGACATAAAACCAACATTGTCCATTTGTTCATGAGACATTTTAAAACACCACTTCATCAGCCCAGATAATACACAAGCATTGGTAAAACACACAAATTACAAGCTTAGTGATGAGACTTCAACTTTGCAATGTAACACATTAGAGAAGAGACTAGAAACCAGATACTATTCCTAATCAAACAAAACTCATAAGGACATACGAAGAGAGAAGCCGCTCGGGAATTGAAATTCTGGTCTTCCTCGAGAAGTGAAATGTTGGAAAATTCTTCACACGAGCTTTTTAAATGCTCAATCAGCAGAGTAGTTGTCGGTATATCTCCTGCCTTTTTTGACTTTTCAGACTTCAAACAATAGAATCAGCACTTTAGGAACCTTTTTACAATATTAATAACAATTAATTTCCATAACTTCTGCATCAATTACAAAAGACTCAATTTAGATTGCAAACTGTTCCAAGTTGTTATATTTTCTTTTTAACCACCCCCCGCCCCCCTTCTTTCTCTCTTCTTGGTTGGGGGTTGGGGGTGGAGGAGGTTGTATATGAGATAAGATTTTTAATTTTTTTTTTTTTCTTTAGAATAAACAAAAGCATGCTGAAAAAATAGCTCATTCATACTTTGGAACTTGACAGGGCCACCCCCATAATACAGAAAAATCTGCTCTTAAAACCAATATAAGCTCACCAAAGGAAGACTAATAAACTCCAAGGAAAAACATCAAAGCAGATAACAAAATAGTCAATATGAATCAGACTGCTTCTCTGCTAGTCTGCTACTTCATAAGAAATGGTCCAATTATATTTCTTCAGTTTTTTAGCTTGTTCCACTTTGACTTTGTTCACTGTTCACATCTCCTACTTTAACCATTTTATTTTACTTATACACAGAGTATATTAAAACAAATACTGTATTGCCAAAACAGTAGCTCATTTTTACAATCTGTAACAACTTTAACATACAGTCATAACATAAACAATGCCAACCTGTTCATTGACAAAAAGTATGGCAGACTCGGGCAAATCGAATTGCAGCAATGAAAAAATAGCTTGAAATCTCTGACTTCTCGGACAAATCTATTGAAAAACAAACTACACCCAATTCAGAAAAGACATAGCTATGCAAGAGACAATGATGGAAACAGAGGTAATTAATATTCAAACCGTGGTTCACAAACAAAAAAGCAACCTAACATGCATTCATTCACAATTTGTCAAAGTTTGATTAATTTTTCTAAAGTCCTTGATTCCTTTACAACAAACATAGACTAACTTTGTTTAATGGCTTAACAGGGTTTCAGAGAATTAACCTTAGGTGTTGTTTATAGCCATCTCTAAGGTTTATCACACCAATCTCGGCTATAATTTCTTTTTGTTCTTTCAACTAACTGATCCGCATAAAATATTGCAAAATATATATGATATGGTAACAAGTGTGACTTCAAGGGTTACAGCAAACCATTTTCCTCAAAGCTCAGTAGGCCTAATGACCCTTTAATGGGAATTCTCAAGGAATCAGCCTTGGGGATTTAAAACTGGTCTCAGATAGCACCTCGTACTAACTATGGCCAACTAAGTGACTCGAAAAAGAAATTATGCATCTAACTGATTTAAGTCACTTATCTCTCAAACTCTGCAGCAAGAGAGAGTAATAATGGTCCATTTTTGGTTCATGGAGAGTTTTCAACATCAAAGTAGGGATAGTTGCGTCAACATTCTAACAGTCACAATATGTTAGTTAATAAGTTTCAAAATAAATTAAAAATAAAACTACTCAACTAATAATTATAAGGCATTTTCAAGGCTTGCAATATGAACAGATTGACAAGAAAAAAATGAATTCAGGATTGTTGTGTCATGGCAATTTTGACCACTGGTTCACTGAATTGAAAAAACGATTCGATGTGATCGAAGAGCTTAATCATATCCACCGGTTTGTTCCCTGAGGTTAACAAAACATTCTACAGACATTTGTGCTTTAGGTGAGAGTTTGGGTCACATGAACTTATGCCCAAGATGAAAAGGGGGTAAAAGAAATTTTAATAGCAGTAGGAGATAACTTTGTGTTTGACTCATAAAGGAAACAAGAATAAACAGATGGGAAAGAACGAAGAAGATGGTAACAAGCTTGGGAAACAAAAACATTATAACGCTTTAAAGCAATTAATGAAGGAATAAAACCAAGAAATGAAGAGGTTTGAAACTGTCACTATCAAGAAGAAAATCAACATGATGACACTCATAAAATTAGACATAATAGTCATCTATATCTATAATATTATTAAAATTCATAGGGACAACATGCTAACACCATGTGCCAACCTTCCTTCAATATGATTTGGTGCCACATGTGCGCCATGTGTCACCTTACGTGTCATCCCTCTTCTCTCACCCCATTGAACTGTAGTAATGTTTATTCTCTTTGAAAAACTCTTCATTGAAAACGTAACTTTAATTCTCTATAATAGTGTTTAATTTACTTGAAAATTTCTTCATACGTATAGTATAAACTCCCTATTTAAATTTGATATATCTTCTATATATTAATGAAAAATGATATAGATTATTATATTTTCATTCACTTATTAATATTCTTCAAGACTAACGCTTCTCAATTAATTTTAAGAGGAATTTATTTTAGATGCACACCCAGTCAGGGCTTTGCCTGATCAACCGAAAGAACTTTCACTAATCCAGTATTTCTTCACAAAAATTGATGATGCATTTGTTCTCAATCAGGCGTGTAGTGAACTTGCCTGATCAACCAAGCAAAGCTCCTAATCAGCCTTTGAAAGATCAATAATCCAATACCGCCCATGTTAATAGATAATTAATTTCTAACATAATGTTGTTCCAAAAAAAAACCAACAGAGAAATGACAATAAAAAGTTCACTATTACCATGTATCTATGATGCAAGCGTGAAGGCATTGGTTCAACTGCATTTACATGGACATGGACTACATTGCTCTGGAAAAGAACAAAAGATTACACAAGTAGCAAAAACACCTTTACATCACTCAAAATGAAGCAATCATTCAAATTAGTCTATAAAACTCAATTAACCAACCTTGGTCCATTTCTGCTGCACACAATCATGCAGAAAGCGTCTATGCTGAGGAATAGATGCACTGGCAAATACAGTTTGACGAGAACGGCTTGATGAATATGAGGTGAGCAACTTCCGCAGGGAACTAACTTGTTTGGAGGAGTTAAACATGAAATCAACCTAATATAGAAAAGAAACTTACAACATAAGCTGCTACTCAAATTATAAAGTGCATGATTAGTGGTTAAAAACCAGAAAGCAATTTTCAGACTAGCAAATACTTGTAGCTTCTAAGTAATACTGCCAAACAATGAATAGAAACATTCCTGGATGAGACATAAAACTAGGGTGTGACAAGAAATAACTAGTCCATTAAACAGATCCATTTGTGGAAGTGCAAATACTACTATATGGCTATACCTAATTAGCAAAAGCACATTGATGAAATTCAAGGAAATTCCCCTAATGGTCTGTTTGGAAACTATCATTTCATTTCAAATGATGAATTTTCCCAAACAAACTGTTTTGGAATTATAAGAATATGCATTTGGTTGTTTTGGATAACAAGTTCAATTAATGGAGTTTGAAATCCAATTTCAATTGATGTCATTTCAAATGCTTCAAATCGTTGACTGCTTAACCACTGCTGCTACCACGAGAGTTACCATCACCACCTTCTAAATGACCTCCACCACTTGACCACCGCCGTTAATCAACCATCTTTGTTGCCACTGCCTTCACCTGCGTGAAAATTCTCTCCATAATGATGAGTGTCATTTATGGCACTCATATGGTAGCATTTTAGGACTCTCTTTTTATAGCTTTTCTCTTTAAATAATGGTTTATCTCCGTTCATTTGCGTTTTAGTTTGTTCATTTCCTTTATTTTATAATTTCTTGCGATTTAAGGGTATTTTCGTCTTTTCTACTCTACTCGCTTTGCTTTCCTTTATTATAGGTCTTGTTTGGGGCTTGATATTTATTTAAGAAGATTTTCCAAGTCTCTTGGATGCTCGGGGCACGACCTCACACCATTTGGATGCCTAAGGATCAAGTTTAGAAGCATGCTCCTACTCAAGGCTTTACGCTCTCGTGCCACGCTCTCATCGCATCTTTTAGTCATGAACCCGCTAAAATGAGGATTTGTAGGCTGCCCCCCTCGTGAGCATCATGTGAGAGCATCGGTGATAGGCATGCATGTGCGCGCAAGACTCGAAGTGCTGGTGCTGCACTGCTGCGGGGTGTGCTGCGGGCTGGTGCGGCCATGAGGGTCACACACCCTGTGGTGCGTGCGCACCATAGGCTAAGGCTCCGATTTTTCTCTTTTTCTATTTAAAGCATTGACCTTGCTATTTTTGGGGGATGACGTTTTTCTAGTACATTGTTCACATTTCCAAAATTAGATAGTGAAAGTAGAGAGAGAAACACTTAGATACTTTATTTGTACTTCAATTTTACTTCAATCAAGCTTGGATTTCCCTTAATCAATGGTAATTAGTGAGATTTCTTTTCCTTAATTCTTCTCTTTTGGTTTAATTCTAGCTTTGATCTTGTAAGATTGTTTGATTTGGATTAATTTCTTGATTAGTTGCTTAATCACTTGATTTTCTTTTTAATTAGTTGAATATGATGATGATGATTAGCTTTGTTTTGTTTCTTCAATTCATAATGATTAATGAGTAGATTTCTTAGCTAGGGTGTTGGGGAAGCATGTATGATTGATAGATTGTTGCTAATTTGGGGATTTTGATCAATAGATTGTTGTAAAATTAAATTGATTGATGGATTCGTGCATGTGTTTAGTTTGATAGGATTGATCAACCTAGATTGCTAAACTTGATTGCATAGTTGATCTTGATGACATGACCACTTGATTTGAGATTTCCAATTTTCAATTTGTTTGAATTGTGATTCTACTAGTTAGTCATTCATAGTGGAAACCTAGCTTGACAATTAGTCTAGATAGATTATTCCTTGCAACACTCCATTGCTTCGATTTACCCACAATTTGGCATCTCTATCATGATTATATGTGGAACCTAATCCCTAGCGTCTTAGTATTTGATTCTTTCTCGATTTCTTGCTTGTTTGATTAGTTTAGCTCCCACTACATTCATACTTTTGCTTCGAAATAGCTTAACAGAAAACTATAGTAATCGACTCCCCCATTCCTCGTGGATCGACTTGGACTTGCCCCTATACTAGGTGAAGGTTCGGTTTATAAATTTGGTTGACTTAGGTAAGCTAGTCTAACAACCCTAGTCTCACCCATTGTCACATAACCACCTCCTCCATCATTAAAACAAGCACTATCTTCCTCCCACAAAAAAAAAATAAATAAATAAATAAAATAAAAAATAAACCCAAAATTTAAGATCTTCAATTCAATCAAACTGAAACTCCATTAAACCTTAACAATGGTGATTGAATTCCCTTAAAATTAACGTACAATATAACCTTAAAGTCTGGATTTTGATTGGTGTGGTATTACAAGGATCGTAGTGAATCTAGTCATAATTTCTAGAGAGAATATTAGGAAGACAGAGAGTTAGGAGGAGAGAGAAGAAGCTATCGACCACAACCTCTTGCTGCTCCTTTGTCTCTCTATGGCCTTACCTTCATACATTCTGCAATATTTTTTTCTTTTTTTTTTTTTTTTTTTTTGTGATTTTTTCTGCGATGATGAAATTCTTGTATCTGAAATTCCAGTTTATCCCAAACAGACAATTTGGAATTGAAAACCAGTATTTGAAATTCCAGATTTAAAATTCTAGGTTCAAAATGAAATGCTTGAATCTGAACCCTACCAAAGTGTATTTTTAAAACATTCAGCGGCATCAATAATCAGCATTACTCCATACAGGCTGCTCACACAGTGACAACGACCCACAACACATTAACAGCCTATTCACCTTCCTGAATTTCCTGAGTGCTAGGTTAAAATGGAGATGTGACAAATGTGAGATGTCTCAGGAAACAGTAAGTTCATATGATTATGGTACATTGGCCATAGACATCTCACAATCCTGGATTACTATTTGGTAAAGAAGACTGAATTCAAAGTTGAAGCCACATGCAAAAAACGTTTCTATTACCTCATCAACTACCAGCACTCTCATTGATCCAAGATCTAACACATGTTTCTCAAGCATCTGACACAAACTTGCCACTGTAGCCACCACGATGGTTGGGGGATCTGCCTGAAAAGTAGAATGATACGAGAAGTTTATCTTTTGAGGAGATAATGTGAAAGTTGAACTGGTGAGATTCTAGTTAAAGAGTAAATTTCAGCTTTAAATAATCAAGTTTATAATACAGAATACCAAGCTTTAATTGTAATGCTTAAGGAAAACAACTGAATGTGAAACCTCTTTACGTTAAAATTCATATTATGCTCAAATGTAATATGTTTGAGATTGAATAGATGGATAGGCACCTTTAGCCAAGTTTTATGTCTTTTCAACAGTCCTCCATCTAGAAGGGCCATGACTGTGCATGATTTTTGCTGCTCTGATCCAAAATCTGATGGCTTTGCAGCCAGCATTCGTGCAACTTTTGTAACCTTAAATATCAAGACAAAACCACATCAGCACAGTGCAATATTTCAAAGACCATGTCTGCTAAGAAGAAAAAGGTTTAGCAACATGACATAAAAAAGTTGATTTTCTTGGTCAAAATAATAAACTGAATAGCATAATTACAGGCATAAAATCTTCTTACTTGCATACCAAGCTCCCTTGTTGGCACTACAATTAATGCTTGAACAGCAGATCTTTGAGTATTAATTATTGAATATACTAAAAGGAGGTATGTCAAGGTCTTCCCAGAACCTGTCTAGAGACAAATAAAGACATATATGAGGTTGATTGGCCCAAAAATAAACAAATCAAAAGATAAATTTCCTGTAAGTGAGATAATGGCTTTTACTTCTTACTAACTCAAAAGAATTTAATAACAATTATGAAATCAAATGAAGTTATGGAATTTTCTCAATATGGGCTATATGTAGATTGATGAAGGGAGCACCTCAGTGCATAGAAGTGCAGTTCAAGTGTTTAGGCTTTACAAAAAGCTTAGCTAAATTATTGCCCAATATTTCCAATATCCATCTTCTTAAGGCACGCCTCAAGATCTTTCCAGAGCATAAAATCCTTTTCCTTTATTGTTCATTACTTGGCAATCATTTGGGGAAGAGATTTGCATAGACATGTAGGCTATAAATTCACAGGATGATGCAAATATGTAAGTAGTAAAGGCGTATGAAGCTTGATACTGTTCTTTCAATAGTAGTTTCAATATAAAAGAGTGTGATAAATGTGTCTATTCTAATTCCAGCAGGTTATATACTTATATGTGCTGACTGGTGATCGTTTAATTGGGTGATACAATAATATTTGGCCCTAATATAAATTTTTTGAGTTGCTATGAATCTAAGATGTCACTTCTGTAAGTCCTTTTCTGGTTTTACAGTTTCTTTAGTACCCATAACTATATGAAGGCCCTAATCAATGTCGTTTTGAGGATAAGATCTTAGTTTGTTGATGATAGCTTGTGCATATACCAAGTTACCAACTCCATCCATCAAGTTCAAAATTGCAGGCACATCCAGTCATAATGGTCACTTCTACGCTTTCCCTCAAAAGAGTAAGCAAGAAAGTTGCATAAATAATTTGAAAAGTTACACCTCGAGCTCTTTGAGGTCAGAGAGAATTCACGCATATATAGAAGAGACAACAAGGATAGTCAAACCAAAGACCACAAAGTAATAAATAAAGTCACATGACATCATGAATATTGTTCAACAGGTGTATGGATGAAAGAATACTTTACATAAATTGTTTGAGTGTATCAGTCCATTAGGTAGGGGCCCCATAAATGCAAGTGCACAATGGTCTACTTGATTGTCCATGGGCTCTATTGATGGTTTTGAGTCATTTGGGACTTGAATTTGACATTAAAATTTTGCGTCAAAACACCTCAAAACTAGCAATCTAGTTTAACCTTGGTTTCATTTTTCAAGGCTAAGTTTCATATTTTAACCTCATTTTTAGCTAGCTTTGACTGGTTTAGGAAGTTTTAAGGTGTGAACTATTTACAATTTTACATTTATAAAAATATTTTAAGAACTGTATCTGACCCTTGTAATAGACTTGAGACACGTGGAAACAATCTTCTAAAGTAAAAGCTTGTAGGTCTTGTAATAAGGCACTATGAGGAATTGAGGAATATGAATAGGTTTAGCCAAATAGTTGTCTACATTTTTTTATTTTTTTTTTTTTTTTTTTATTATTATTTTTTTTTTATTTTTTTTTGGCAACAACCATGAATGCACATATAAGTGACCCAAATATATTGCATGAGTGGAGATCAATTCTGAGAAAAATAATTTACTGTAAAGATTGTACTTTGATCTCCTTCATCTCCACTCTACAATTTAACAATTTTGGTGGTCAAAAGCCTGTAAACAATCCCAGGTACTTGCTTGTCAAGCTGGGATGATAAAAATATTTGTCCTCTTTATTATGTTAGCAAGAATTTTTCGTTTACGATCCCATCCCATACATTTTTTTGGACAGAAGCATTCTATTCTTGTTAAAGTGTGTGTTATAAAGTACATCCCCTTGAGAAATGGATTAATCAGAAAATGAGGAACTATTATAGGTTAAAAAAGAATATACTCCGCAGATTGTAAATCATAAATATTATTGAAGGGGAGAAATGAGAGAGCCAGAAAAGTGACCTGAGCATGCAGTACACAGTCAGAACCCGTGAATAGTACAGGAAGACCTTGTTGCTGCACTTCTGTTGGTTGAATAAATCCATTTTCGTCCATCCTATCGCATTCAGAAGAAGAGTTAATAGTCAATCAACCAATTAAACCCATTATTTTTCACTCAAAGCTCCATTTCGAATTTCGATGATGCAAGTTAATAGGTACATTGAACATTGAACCCCAGCAAAATCCCAGCCCTTTCTAACATTTCAACAAGTCTTGATAAATTACAAAGGCTACAGTTGCACATATAATAGCTTGGTAAAGGTGAACAGGCAATTTTTCTAATCATTAACAAAAAATTGTTGATCAACTAATCTGAAAGAATCAAAACCATCGCATAAACATTCCAGCCCGAAAAAGCTCAATAGTCTAACCCGTATCCACTTTGAAGTTAAACTACAAGGCTGCACATCTAAATTTCAAAAACAAAAGTCTTAGCCACATCCAACCAAGTTGTGACAAACATCTAACAAAAAATCTGAACTATGCTTTATTTTCTCATAGCAATTTCCAATGATAAGATTTATGCAAATTCAAAAGTCGGAACAGAACCCACTTTATAAAGAAAATTTCAAACCCCTATATCTACTTCTCATTTCACATTACTATTTCAATCTACTACATCTACATTATAACTTCAAAACTCTAAAAAGAGAAAAGGTGAAGATAAATAACCTGCGGAGCACAGGCTCAGGCACATGACCTTGACACAGCTCGCGAAGAGTTACAGTACATCGAAATTGAACAACAGAAGCTCCAATTGCAGGAACAGGATTGACGAATGTAGCAGTTAAAGTGCGGATTCTAGGGAAAGGGCTAAATAATTTACCGGCCCGTCCCCGAGTCAGGGCAGGAGGGGCACCCACCCTAGGTCCAAGGAGAAAAGGTCCATAGTCATACTTCCATCCTAACATTGAATGATAATAAACAATATTCTGCAATACATTAACAACCAAATATTACTCAATTATCAAATTAGGCTCAAAAATCACATAAAATTCATCTAGGTTAAGAGTTTCAACATATAATTGCATTAAGTTAAATTTAAAAAAAAAAAAAAAAAGTTATAGCAACAAATACCTAGTTAATTGTTCATAACTTGAGTAATTTATAATTAATAGTTGTATAATCTATAATAGAAGAACCCTGAATTGACTATAATGACAATTGAATTAAGGATAGTATGAAAGTAAAGTAGATATTGTGAAATTGATATTCGATTATTTTGAAAGAATTACAGTTCATGAGGGAATAGAGGAAAGAGAGAGAAAAATATTATACCTAAGAAGCTGTTTCAATGGAGGAGAAAAAGGTGAGAAGCCACTTCAACAGAGGAACACGGAGTATACTTCAATAGAGGTCAGGGGAATTGGAGTGCGCTTCAATAGAGGAGAGAGAGGGTGCAGCGTAAAGTGAAGTGAAAAGGAGTTTATAAATACTCCGCAGTGAATAGATAAAGAAAAATTTGTCAAACTAATCCTCCCTCCATTTCAAAATAGGAAAAATTATAAAAATAATGAAATAATCTCAACTCTCGCAAATTCACTTAAAATAATATCAACTTTAGATTATTTTTAAATAATCCGAACTATGGGGGTCATTCATCCAAAATGATCTCAATCGGTCACCCAACTTGTTATATCAGGTTAATGTGACGCGTGTCATCACAGATTAGTTGAAAAATAAAAATAAAAATAAAAACTTAAAAAAAAAATCAAAAAACAAAATAAAAAATCAACCCAGCCACCGACCACCTTACCACCACCCTCTCCCCAATCCATCGCACCTCCGAAGCCCCCAACCACTGCCGCAGACCCTACCTCACGCCGGCGCCAGCACCTAGACCATCCCTCCCTCACGCCGGCGCCATCACTTCTCTCCTCCTTCCCCCTAAATCACCTAACTTCCACCGAAACCCTAAAAACACCCAAACCATCGCACAAAATCCCAAATCGCCGCTCCCCATCCTCGGAACCCTAGCGCTAGGGTTCTGAGCGTGGGGGAGCGCTGATTTGGGTGGTTTGTGCGATGGGCTTAGTTTTTATTAAGGGTTTTGTTAGGTTTTCAAGTAATTCAACAACTAGAACAACTTTAACAAGTGTGGGAACAAAACCTAAAACATGTATAATTAATATTAAATTATACAATTATCCAAATACAATTCAATGTATTACAACCAAACACCAAAATATCAAAGTATTTCAGAAATTACAATGAAAAACACTAGTGTGAAAGATAATGTACTTGCCTCTACTCCAAGCTTTAACAATCTATATGAACATGAGAAATCGGTGACCACTTGAGTCTAATTCCTTGATACTCTGTCTTAGGCGTATGAATACTTTCCTAAAGAGTTTAATTTCCCCCACAACAGTGCTTGGGTTTAATCCGGAAATACTCTTTGAGATACAAAAGACAGCCCAATGTTCTTAGCACTAAGAATCAATGAAAGATGAACAATTCACAAGAAAGGATTGATTGTAAGAGATTTCTCACAAAAGTTTGCAAGAAGTTTGTGAGGAATTGTGAAGAATACTTTTTGGGAGAGAAGAAGAATAATGTTGTATGTCACTCGAATCTCTTCATTAAGCCTTTTATTAAAGACTTAATAACCGTCAGAATTTCGCGAAATCAGGACTGGCGCGGGCGCGCCCCAAAGTGGCGCGGGCGCTCCTAGTCAGGAGCGGGCGCGCCTCTCCTCTACTTCCGAAATTCAACAAAGGAGGCAGAAGAGGGCGCGGTTTAGGCGCGACTAAAGCGCGGGCGCGCCAACCAGGAGGAGCGGACGCTCCTATATTAGGAGAGGGCGCTCCTCCCAAAACCAGCCAATTTCCATACTGGAAGTCAGAGAGGGTCGCGGTTTAGGCGCGACCCAGGCGCGGGCGCGCCACTTGGACGCGCGGGCGCGCCAAATGACGCGCGGGCACGCCAACTTTCTCCTACCAAACCTTTAGATTCCAGTGAGGTCCGCGGTTTAGGCGCGACCTCAGCGCGGGCGCTCCTCATGGTTCGCGAGCGCGCAACCATCAACACTCTAAATCTTCCAACAATCCTCCCCCATTTAGAGTGTTACTTAAAACATTCTCCACATCTTACAATTAAACCACATCTCATGCATCAATGTCAATGTCCCTTCGGATTGAATTGACACCTAGTACAACACACTTAACGATGATCATATCCCATGATTTCCATACGGATTGAATCACACGGATATATCCAACCATTCGAAGGTGAAGTACACATAAGACAAATCGAATTAATCATCACTTGACACCTTTAACAGCTATGTGTCCGTATCTTTCATAAGTTCATCGAAGTCTATATGTCCTTTTAGACTTCTTGAAGCGGCTAAACTTCGAACTTATATAGGTAGGTTCTCATATACGTAATTGTGCCCTTGTGACAAGACACTTACATTTAGAGCTTCTCAACTCTAAACCTTTGAGAACTTTAAATGACGCTACCTTACACATCACAAGTACCATAGCAATATGGGTCATCAAATATTGCTAACAAACAAAAATGCAATTCAACCACATTGAATCTAAGACTTGATGTTTCTTCAAGCGTTAGATTGGGTTTCACAAATTTGTGTTTTTGGACATAACCCCATTCCATTCATAGCAAATATGATGGAATATCTTAGCATTGCCTTTGTAAAATAATCCGCCAAATTCAACTTTGTTGGAACATAGTCAAGACTTATGACCCCATCATGGATAAGCTCTTTCACTAGGCTATGCCTTAGTGAAATATGCCGAGACTTACCATTGTACACTTGACTATAAGCCTTTATCAACGCCGAATTGGAATCACAATGGATTGCCACCGGTGGCATTGGCTTTGACAATAAAGGCAACTCAATCATGAGATTCCTCAACCACTCAGCTTCCTTACTAGCTGAAGCAAGAGCTATAAACTCTGCTGCCATAGTGGAGTCGGCAATGCAAGTCTGTTTCTTGGAAGACCATGAAATGGCACCTCCTCCAAACATAAATACTCAACCACTTACAGAAGAATCATCTTCTTTGTAAGTGATCCAACTTGCATCCGAATATCCTTCTAAAACCAAAGGAAATCCACTATAAGATAGACCATAGTCTAACGTACCCTTAAGGTACCTCAAGACCCTCCTTATTGCAAACCAATGCTGTGCACCCGGGTTACTAGTAAATCTACTTAGTTTTCCCACAGCCAATGCAATATCCGGTCTTGTACTAGTCATGGCATACATCAAGGATCCAATTATCCTTGAGTATTCCAATTGGGAAATCGTTTTCCCCGAATTCTTAACCAATTTGACATTTGGTTCCATGGGGGTGTTCACAGGACACTTATCAAACATATTGAACCGTTTGATCATTTTCTCAACATAGTGAGATTGACTTAGAATAAGTCTTCCATTGTCCCGAATTATCTTGATGCCTAAAATGACATCCGCCTCCCCCAAATCCTTCATCTGAAAAGATGAGGATAAGAATTCCTTGGTCAATTCTACTTGTCGTAGACTTGTACCAAAGATAAGCATATCATCAACATATAGACAAATGATGACACCATGACCTTTGTCATCAAATTTGCTATATATACACTTATCAGCTTGATTCACCTTGAATCCAAAAGACAAAATTGTGTCATCAAATTTTCGATGCCACTGTTTTGGTGCTTGTTTAAGTCCATACAAGGACTTAACCAATTTACACACCTTATCTTCTTGTCCTTCCAAAACAAACCCTTCGGGTTGTTTCATGTACACTTCTTCCTCTAGATCTCCATAAAGGAATGTCGTTTTCACATCCATTTGATGGATTACTAGATTGTATACCGAAGCCATTGCAATTAATAACCTAATTGAGGTTATTCTTGCAACCGGTGCATAGGTGTCAAAATAATCAACACCATGCTTTTGCCTAAAGCCTTGGATAACCAATCTGGCTTTAAACTTCACTATGGAGCCATCCGGTCTCCTTTTCCTAGTGAAAATCCATTTGCAACCAAGAGGTTTGCAACCGGAAGGTAAATCCTCTAAGACCCAAGTGTTATTTCCCATGATGGAATCCATCTCATCATTTATAGCCTCTTTCCAAAATGCACTATCTTGGGAAGATATTGCTTCACTATAAGTCTTTGGGTCACTATCCACATTGAAACAATATGGAGTAGTAGAACTTAGGGTATCTCTAGATCCTTCAACCAAATAAATTATGAAGTCATCTAGAGGATTCCTAATTTTCCTTTCTCTAGTACTTCTCCTCAATTGAGGAGTTTCAACATTCTCATTATCGAATGCACTTTCATGAGTTTCAAGTTTATCATTCAACTCTACTATCTCCCTATCATTGGCACTAATTTGTAGATCTTTCGGTCTACTCATTGATGAAAATCGGTTTTCATCAAAAATTGCATCTCTTGACTCTATAACCGAATGAACATATATATAGTCATTTTGTTCTATTACATAGAACCTATAGGTTTTGTTATGCTCAGCATATCCTATAAATATGCAATCCAAGCCTCTTTCACCGAGCTTTCTTTTCTTGTTGCCGGGCACTCTTACGATTGCCCTACAACCTTGAGATACTTCAAGTTTGGCTTTCTCTTGTACCAAAGTTCATAAGGAGTAGATTCTTTTCCCTTTGTGGGAACCCGGTTAAGAATGTGACATGCTGTCAACATAGCTTCACCCCAGAACCCTTCACTCAAACCAGAGTAAGATAGCATGGAATTTACCATCTCTTAAAGGGTTCTATTTTTCCTTTCAGCTACACCATTTGATTGTGGTGCATACCCAGCTGTTGTCTCATGAATTATACCCAAAGATTGGAAATAACTTGGATCATAGTATTCCCCTCCCTTATCAGTTCTAATTCTCTTAATAAATGAATCTACTTGCAATTCTACTTCCTTTTTATAAATATCAAACTTGGTTAAAGCTTCATCTTTGGAATGCAAAAGATACACGTAACAAAACCTAGAATAATCATCTATAAAAGTGACCATGTATCTTTTGTTCCCCAAAGAAGGCGTACTATGAAAATCACACAAGTCACTATGGATTAGTTCTAAAATGTTAGAACTTCTCTCAACTCTCTTAAATGGAGTTCTAGTGATCTTGTTCAACATGCAAGTAGAACACTTATTAGGAGAAATATCACAACATGGAATCAAATCTTGTTTGGACATAAACAACATTTTATTATAATTCACATGTCCTAATCTAGAATGCCACAAATCAAACAAATTCAAATCAACATGATTATCACTTGCATCAACATTCAAACAAAAATCATTAAATCCATACATGTCTTTCAAAGAAAGCTTAAATAATCCATTACATAAATAACAACGACCTATGAAATTTGTTCCTCTAGTAATAATACACCTATTAGCTTCAAACACTAGTTTATAGCCAAGACTATTCAGGGAAGGCCCCGATACAAGATTCCTACTAATATCCGGAGCATACAACACATCCCTAAGAATGATTGCATTCCCCGAACTAAACATTAGTTCTACTTGTCCTCTACCAAGGACCTTGATGGTTGAATTGTTCCCCATAAAGAGATTTTCTCCATCACCAACCTTGTGAAAGGTTTTGAACCAATGCCTCATCTTGCATACATGCCTTGAAGCCCCCGAATCAATCCACCATGAGTCATCATCCTGCACCATAAAAATGTTAGGATCCGTTGCATTTAAATCCAAACCGGAATTAAATTCAACCTCATGAATTGGATTACCTTTGGTGGGTTGGTCCTTGCTAGTACTAGCATGGCCCTCCTTGGCTTTCTCCATACTTTTCTTGTAAGAAAAGCAGTCCTTCTTGCGGTGACCAACTTTACCGCATTCCCAACAAGCAAACTTGTTATTGTTTGCTTGCTTCTTGGACTTTCCGTTGAAAGAGGTATTATTCTTCCCTCTTTCCACTAGAGGAAGCACCAGTTTTTCTTTCCTCTACCAAATTAATGGTAGATGAGCTAGGATTCCCATCCTTAGCACTTTCCATGGCTCTTATCCCTTCTTCAACTTGAAGATGGGTGGCCAACTCGGACAAAGACATGTCCTCTTTCTTGTGTTTAAGCTCATGCTTAACACTTTTCCAACTAGCAGGCAACTTGTCAATTATACTTGAAACTACAAACAATTCATCCATAGAAATACCATGTTGTTTCAAGTTCCCATAGATTCGTTGTAATTCATGAAATTGGTCCATTATGGACCGACCATCAACAAACTTAAAATTATTGAAATTACTTACTAAAAACTTCTTACTTGAAGCATCTTCAGCCATATATTTGCCTTCTAAGGACTCCCAAAGCTCCTTAGCCGACTCCACATTTTGATACACATCAAAAAGATCATCTTCCATACCATTCAAAATATGACCACGACAAATAAAGTCATCGTTGTCCCATTTTGACATTTCCCGAACATTTTCCAAGGATTCTTTCTCATGTTCACTAGGCCTTGGAGTACTAATAACATAGGCTACTTTCAAAGATGTAAGAAGAAAGTACATCTTCTTCTTCCATCTCCGAAACTCCACACCGTCAAACTTCTTGAGTTTGACAAAATTTGTGGTCAATTCTTTCACACTAGACATGCTTGATTACTTCTAAGGATTAAACTCTTTAGATTGTTAGGTTTTCAAGTAATTCAACAACTAGAACAACTTTAACAAGTGTGGGAACAAAACCTAAAACATGTATAATTAATATTAAATTATACAATTATCCAAATACAATTCAATGTATTACAACCAAACACCAAAATATCAAAGTATTTCAGAAATTACAATGAAAAACACTAGTGTGAAAGATAATGTACTTGCCTCTACTCCAAGATTTAACAATCTATATGAACATGAGAAATCGGTGAACACTTGAGTCTAATTCCTTGATACTCTGTCTTAGGCGTATGAATACTTTCCTAAAGAGTTTAATTTCCCCCACAACGGTGCTTGGGTTTAATCCGGAAATACTCTTTGAGATACAAAAGACAGCCCAATGTTCTTAGCACTAAGAATCAATGAAAGATGAACAATTCACAAGAAAGGATTGATTGTAAGAGATTTCTCACAAAAGTTTGCAAGAAGTTTGTGAGGAATTGTGAAGAATACTTTTTGGGAGAGAAGAAGAATAATTCTGTATGTCACTCGAATATCTTCATTAAGCCTTTTATTAAAGACTTAATAACCGTCAGAATTTCGCGAAATCAGGACTGGCGCGGGCGCTCCACCAGGAGGCATGGGCGCGCCCCAAAGTGGCGCGGGCGCTCCTAGTCAGGAGCGGGCGCGCCTCTCCTGTACTTCCGAAATTCAACAAAGGAGGCAGAAGAGGGCGCGGTTTAGGCGCGACCAAAGCGCGGGCGCGCCAACCAGGAGGAGCGGGCGCTCCTATATTAGGAGAGGGCGCTCCTCCCAAAACCAGCCAATTTCCATACTGGAAGTTAGAGAGGGTCGCGGTTTAGGTGCGACCCAGGCGCGGGCGTGCCACTTGGACGCGCGGGCGCGCCAAATGACGCGCGGGCGCGCCAACTTTCTCCTACCAAACCTTCAGATTCCAGTGAGGTCCGCGGTTTAGGCGCGACCTCAGCGCGGCCGCGCTTACCCAGCGCGGGCGCTCCTCATGGTTCGCGAGCGCGCAACCATCAACACTCTAAATCTTCCAACAGGTTTCGGGTTTAGACTAGGTGGTTTCATGGTGGGGGTTTTGGGGGAAAGGGCGTCGGGATGTCGGCGGCAAGGGAGGGGGTCTGGGCCGTTGGGAGGAGGGACTTCGGTGTGCCAGACATGGGTGGTGGTGGGGTTATCATGGGTTGGGGCTAGGTGTTTTTTTTTGTAATTATTTTCAACCATTCATGTAGTGACACATGTCAGTTAAACACACACAAAAAAAAAATTACCTCCTTAACAAGTTACCGGTCACTTCAGACCATTTTGAGCGAATAACACCCAAAGTTCGAATTATTTAAAAATAATCCAAAGTTGAGATTATTTTGACTCTTCAATCAATAATAACTATATACTCCCTCCGTCCCATAATATAATTCCTGTTTTCCTATTTTGAAGATCCAAAATAGTGTTCCTATTTCTATTTTTGGATAGTATGTAAAGACCATCATACCCTCACTTTTTAACTTTACTCATTGTACTTCCTAAATTACCCTTAAATTTTGCACATGGCTTATACTATTTCTACTTTCCCTCTTTAACTTTTGTCTATAATTGTACTTTTCACTTTTATTAATGTACTTCATCCACTTTTTCCTCCTATTTCTTAAATACCGTGAAAAAACATAAATAAAAACTATATTATGGGACGGAGGGAGTACTAAAAGACACACAAAAAATGACACGCTAATTATACTAAAAGACACACTAAAAATAACACGTGTCATTTTTAGTATATACTCGCTCCATTTTTAAATATTTGCTCCATTTCTCTTGGGCACGTATGCCGATACTAATATTTGATTAATAATATCTTTAATTATCAATAAGTATAAATTCTAACAATTGAAAATTAATAATCTATTCAATGAGACAATTCCAACAAGTACCCATAAGACTATATTTTTTCTTATGTATAAATTACAAACATTAGTCAAAGTAGGACAAATGAATAATGCAAAAAATAGAAATGGAGCAAGTATTTAAAAACAGAGGTAGTACCTTAGTTTTAGTTTTTTTTTAAAAAATATCTATTTTGAAAACAAATCTTATACGAATTACATACATAAATAAAAGATTAGAAAACATTCCATGTATCCTTCCACAATATATATTGATGTATTAAACTTAAGTAAAATAAGAAAAATATTCAAATAATTTGCAACATATTTAGTGTTATGTACTACTTTATCATTGAAAAAAAAAGATTTTTTTTCTAAAGTTTTTTGTATTTAATTATGTATGAAAAATATGCCAAGAAAGATATGAAAAAATGTTTTAAGTCAGTTGATTATTGAGAAAAGAATACTATGGAGAGAGAATGAATAATAGTGTGCAAAAAAAAAAAAAAAAAAATCAATTTACGGGTTAAATACATATTGTTAAGATAATCAGTTGGTTATAAGATTTTTGCTTGTATTTGTGGTGGGTGTGTGCTGCTTGGATTAAGATTTTTTTTTTTTTTTTTTTACTTTTTGTGTGTGCCTACTGTCCTTTTTCTTTTGCTTTTGTATCAATTGAGGTCGTTGCTTGCTGGTTTTTTACTGTTTACGGTTGGTGATGGCAACTGCTCTGCTGGAAATATGATTTAGAATCCTAATTTTGGGCAGAAAAAGCTTGCCCAGTTTTGAAGGCCTTTTCATATCTTGTCTTTTTCTGGGGAAGGTGTTAGCTTTAAGAGGGTCGGTTTACCCTTACTATATATATGACCACTCTCTTTTGAGTTGAGCTATCTGTTGTTTCTTCACTGATCAAGGTGGTTCAGGTAATGAGTTCTTGGAGCTTTATTCTGCTCTTTCATGCTAATTGATTTTTGTTATTGGACTTTTACTGGAAAAACGAGCTTGGTTTAAAGAACACTGTGACGAAAATGATCTTTACCTACATTGATTGCTCAACTGGAACAAATGAATTGCAATTTAGATAATTAGAATATTTAAAATGTCTGATCTTATATAGATTTCTGTGTAAATTAGATTAATCGATCATTTGATTACAGTTTTGGCTTTAAAAAGCTTGCCTATCATACTGTTGTTAGGTTTTCAGATTTATAGTTTTTATAATTAGCTATTGGTGAGTACATGTTTAGATTTAAAATTCTCAGTATATGCCATTGTGCTGAAGAAAAGAAAAAATAATATGAATGTTCTTGGTTAAAAAGTGAACTTTGAATTTGTTTGTTGCTGTGTGAAAAATCGTGTCTTAGGGGGAAAAAAATTATATTAGTGGAGGCATCATTTTGGTTTGGTTCCCCATTTATAGATCTTAAAGTGACGGGTTTTGTTTGGTTTGTATTAGTTGGATCATTGAATGGTACATACTTTAGGAGCATAATATAGAGGAAATGTTGGCTTGTGCGATGATGTATTGTTTATGAATGAGTTTGTGTTTTACTGCCTGTTATAGTGAGCTGAGCAGAATTTTGTGTTGCTTGCAGGTGCTGTTGTGCTATATTACTTGGTGCTTGTTCTACTCAGATTTCCGCAGGTATATATTGCCCTTAGCGTGATCTGCTATATACATTCGGGTTTAGTATGCTCTTTTAATTGCCGAAAAGTAATGTTCTGATTGCTATGGTTGGTGTTGGCTATTTTTTTGCTTTCTTCTTGTTATCTACTGTGTGTGCTGTGTTGTCGCTTACTCGGAGTTTTGGTTTGTGCTTTCCCTGGTAATCTTTTTATGGTCTGCTTTGTTATGCCTGTGAAACTCTGTCTATAGTTGAGTAGCTGATGTGTGAGACTTGTTGCAACTGTAATTTGATTGGCAGTTATAATATGTTTTTGAGGCTGAGAGGTCAGATGTGATTGTTGTAGTAATATTTTTGGGTATTTGTATTATTTCTAGCTGTGAAAAAACACACTTTGTTCTGAATATTTTGTGGTCTCATTGAGTGATGCTGTCTGTTTGAGGGGGTTGTTTGGATACTTGGGTTTCAAGCGGTTTGGGTTACAAGAAATATTAGTTTGCTGTTGCGCCTTGGATGGCAAAGTTGGATAAGTATCATTTATCATAAATGGTACATATTGTGTTGAAGAAAGGGTGAGTATGTGCTGTTGTATGTAACAAAACTATGAATGGTATGTTTCGATTGTTTATCATTGAATCTCTAAAGATGAATTTGGAATCTGTTGGGTGTGGGATTGTATGTTTCGATTGTTTATGCACATTCAATGCCCCAGTAAACCAGATGAAGAGCATACTGTATATTATTGCTTTACTTTATGTATGTTATCAGTGTGCTGGTCTTTACACCCTGTGTCTGTTTACTTCAGGATGCTAGCAGATGTCTGTGTGATTTCCGATGTCCCTTAGGCAAGTTTTTCTTGATTTGTTTGTGGACAGGTGCATCTGCCTCTAACAATGGGTAGTGCTTCTTTTTTCAATAGTCTCTATTCTGGTTTCTGTGTGATCTGCCTTTTGTTACCTTTTACTCTTACGTTTCCAACATACACATAGCACAGCAATTTAACATTTGTTACAATGTTGTTGTAATGTCAATCTGGTAAGCCCACGTGCCCTGCATTCCTAAGACACATACAACCTAAGAGGAGTGGTGTACTTGGAGGAGACTCTCCAGCTGCTTTAGTAAGGTATAGTAGTTTCTACAATGCTTAATTGCTGTGTGCTACACAATGACCTGAATCCCCAATTGGACTGCAGTGGCTTAGGAAATTGTCGACGCAGAGCACCTAAGAGGAAGCGCGCACATCAGAGTAATTTGGTTTTTTTTGCCTTGTTTAAAGTCTTATTATGAATAGCCTTAATTTAAGCCTATTTGTTGATTTGCTTTGTAGTTGTGAATATCCCTGCTGCTACTATTGGTTTATTGCTGCCCAGAGAATCGCTGCAATTACCAGCTGCTCACTACTGCCATCATTGTCACACAAAAATACTTGCATCAGAAACCAAAATTTTTTGTTGTGGGGATGGAGACATACAAATTGCTCTGAATGAATATCCTCCAGAACTTGAACACTTATTTATATCCCAGGAGGAAGATGCGGTACACTTCAGGAAGTATGCTCGTTTATATAATAACTTGTTTGCATTCAGCTCGTTAGGCAGGAATTTTGATGCTACCACATGTAAAGGAATCTATGTGTTCAAGTTACATGGTCAATTGTATCATTTTGTTCCAGATCTTCTTCCGAGGGACGATCACCCAAAGTATTTGCAGCTGTACTTTTATGATGGCCAGCATGAAGCTGCAAATAGGCTTGGCTGCTTTCCGGAATTGCGGGAGGATATCATTGCTATTCTGATGCGCGTATCGGAAAAGAACCCGTATGCTTGTTTCTTTCGTTCTTTGAAAGAAGTTGCAGACAGAGGAAACTCAAATTGTCCTTAACCAAAGTGCGGTGCCGGATCAGCGTGTATACAATGCTCCGACTACTGATGAAGTTGCTGAAATTTGGCCTGACAATGCATCATCGAGTCATAGCTCTAGCCCTCATATAATGGTTTCAGGAAAATCAAATGTCTCCCATCGTATCTACCACCATTATGGGTGCTATGACCCTCTACAGTACCCTCTTTTATTTCCCCGGGGAGAGAGTGGATGGAACCAAGGGTTAAAAAAAAGATCCTGGGGTGGTCGACAGCAAACAGCCGCACAGGTGGATCCTGTGTTATCTTGTTTTGTTCATACTGCTGAAGAGCTGTTGGATGCGGAAGCGTCCCATAAGTGCTACATACCATGGGGTTTGTTTATCCAATTTACCACTTAATGTTCTTTGCTACTAGAACTCGTGTTTGATCGGATTTTCATTCATTGCCATTGCAGGGGCAGCTGGCAAACGCACCAGAGCAGACAAATATATTTCTCCTCGAGAGTATTACGCTTTCCTGTTGCAGATGCGGCCGGGCAATATGTTGTTGCGAACTGGTAGACTGTTACAACAATATGTCGTAGACATGTATGTAAAGATGGAAAGCACTTGCTTGGACTACTTCCGCAACAATCAGGGAACTATAAGATCAGACCTTTACCAAGGTATCTTGAACTCTTTAAAGAGTGGGGAGACGTTAGCATCTAATGTTGGGCAACGAGTTATTTTACCACCAACTTTTATTGGTGGACCTCGAGACATGAAAAAACGCTATCTAAATGCCATGACATTGGTTAAGAGATATGAGAAACCAGATCTCTTTATTACAATCACATGTAATGCAAATTGGCAAGAGATTAAGTCTGAGTTGGCCCTTGGCGAGTTACCACAAGATCGGCCAGATTTGGTGGCGCGTGTGTTTCGAGCGAAGCTGTTGGTTTTGAAAAGAGAAATTATGGAGAACGAGGTTTTTGTTGAGGTCTCGGCGATGATTTATGTCATTGAATTTCAGAAGAGAGGCTTGCCTCATGGACATTTCTTGATCATTCTGAAGGGTGGGTCAAAAATGAAGTGTCCTGAGGATTATGACAAATTTGTTTGTGCAGAGATCCCGCCTGCAAGTGATCCAATATTACGCAAAATCATACTCAGGCATATGATGCATGGCCCTTGTGGCCATTTGAATCCGCAGTGCCCTTGTATGCGTAAAAAGGGCCAGAAGCCAAAGTGTAAGAACAACTTTCCTAAGAAATTTTCACCACACACAACAACTAACAAAGATGGGTTTCCAACATATCGGAGAAGAGACACTGGTGAAACAGCCAGGGTTAGGGGTGCTACGCTTGATAATAGGTGGGTGATTCCTTACAATCCTTATCTTTCTGTTCTGTTTGATTGCCATATTAATATTGAGGTCTGTTCTACAATCAAAGCTGTGAAATATTTGTACAAGTACGTGTACAAAGGGCACGACAAGGTTTCTTACAATGTTGTTCCAACAAATGGTTAAGTTGTTGATGAAATCCAACAATTCCAGTCAGGGAGGTGGGTTTCACCCTGTGAAGCTGCATGGAGACTTTTTGCGTTGGATTTGTTTGACATGTACCCTTCAGTTCTCCTGCTGCAGGTTCACCTGCCAAACCAGCAAACGCTCCACCTACATCCATTTGAAAGACTAAATGGTGTTTTTGCGAATTCAAGACGTTCACAGACCCATCTCACTGGATTCTTTGCTATGAATGACGCGATTCCAGGAGGAACAGGTTATTTATATAGTGAATTCTGTGAACATTATAGATGGGATGCATCAAGTAAGGAGTGCATTGAAAGAGAGAGGGATAGATTTCAGGTGGGTCGATTAGCTTTGTGTTTCCAGCGGAAGGAGAACGGTTTTATTTGCGCTTATTGCTACTGCATGCCAGGAGTCCTAGGTCATTTGAACACCTCAGGACTGTGCATGGCTTTGTATGCTCTACTTTCCAAGAAGCCGCTTTGAAGCTAGGGTTACTTGAAGCAGAAGATCTTGCCAGTTCATGTCTTAACGAGGCCTATGAAGTACAGATGCCTGTTGCACTGAGGCGCCTCTTTGCAACTATACTAATCTTCTGCCAGCCAAGTGAACCTGTAGCATTATGGACCAAATATTATCCATTTCTGTCTGATGATTTCAGAAATCAGTTTCCGTCTGACTTGTCTAGGATTAGACAGCTAACTGTTAATTCCATAGAACAGCATTTAGAAGCAATGGGCAGATCTCTGAAAGACTTTGGAATTGAAGAGGTCAATGAACAACTTGATACAGAGATACGACGAACAAAAAACATAATTGATGCTCTAGATGCACCCATTCCTCAAGAATGCATAGACTGAAGAGAGCGTCTAAATCCAACTCAGACCTTTACTTGCATCATTGCAACGGACAGCGCCCTTGAGAGACTAAGGAAGAGAAAGAACACAAAAACAGGAAGAGGAAGGTTGATTGATTGATAATAAATAACCGAAAGGTTCAAGAACAAGCAATGACTTTAGGCCATTAGTCTCAAAGAGTTCTCAATACAATTTTCTGAATGCCCCTCTCGTCTTCTTAGATTACTACTTATACTACCCTTCTTACTACATGACATGGCAATAGCCTTAATTGTTACAATAACTATTTCTTGCCCTCTTCTAAAAAGCAAAGCAAAAGCAAAGTAAACTAATAAGCCAAGAGTGGCAGTGTGCAGTAGCTTAAGGTTGGGCTCGTGAGTGTTGCGGGTTGGTGGTGTTTCCCTGCTGCTGGTTTTGTCTTTGTCCCCTCTGCCTTCTGCTGTACTGGTAACGAATGGGAGGTGTATGGTGGTGCATTGCAATCATGCAGCATGTTACAAATAAACAACCTGGTGCCTTTTTCATTGATGGTCCTGGTGGCACAGGGAAAACCTTCCTCTACAAAGCGTTGTATGCTGAAATTAGGCTCATGAACAAGATTGTATTGCCTACAGCTACTTCTGGAATTGCAGCTGCAAACATTCCTTCTGGTCGAACGGCACATTCAAGGTTTAAGATCCCAATTGATTCTGATTCTTCCCGGGCATGTGTTGTTCCCAAACAAGGTAGCCTTGCAGCACTTCTAAAAGAGGCAACTTTGATAATCTGGGATGAAGCTTCAATGGCACATAAAGAAAATCTTGAATCCTTAGATATGCTATTGCAAGATCTATGTGAAAATACATCTTTATTTGGTGGTAAACTTGTAGTCTTCGGGGGAGTTTCCGACAAGTTCTGCCAGTTGTCCCGCATAAGACACAACGTGAAGCAGTTGGGGCTACCGTTGTTACCTCATACTTGTGGCCTAAGCTTACAAAATTTAAACTCACTGAAAATATACGAGCTCGGGATGATCCCCAGTATTCTATTTTTTTGCTGTCCTTGGGAAACGGAGAACTACAGCAAACAGATAATGGATATGTTCAGTTACCTATGGAAATTGTAAGGCCTCTTGTACCTGATGTAGATCCTGTCAAAGAAATCATGGTGACCACGTTCCCTGAACAGGTATCTTTGGAAATGATCTCTTTACTCAGAAAGCTATTCTTACACCAATGAACGATGATGTCGATCTTATAAATGCTGTAATGATTGAAGAATTTCCAGGTGATCCTGTAGTGTATAAAAGCTTTGACAGTGTTCTTGATGACATGTGCAATGTGTGCCCAACAGAATTTATAAACAAGTTGTGCCCAGGAGGTATGAGCCCTCATGAACTCATGTTGAAGGAAGATTGCCCTGTTATTTTGCTACATAATATACTTCCTTCCTCCGGCCTATGTAATGGTACACGACTAATATGCAAGAAATTTTTCCCAAATGTCATTATGTGTGTCATAGCTGTTGGCCAGTATGCTGGTCAACATGTGCTCATACATAGAGTTCGTCTGAGACCTTCTGCTTCTTCGAAGTATCCTTTCCAGTTTGAAAGAAACCAGTTCCCAATAAAGCTGAGTTTCGCAATGACCATAAACAAGTGTCAAAGACAGACCCTTAATCAAGTCTGTGTCTATCTTCCCCGACCCTGCTTTTCTCATGGACAATTGTATGTTGCTCTCTCTCGAGCAAAGGAAGCTAGAAAAATAACTGTCCACACCTCACGTCCTCCAGCACAGTATACAGCCAACTTTACTAAGAATGTTGTCTCATATGATGTCTTGCGCTTGACCAGCATAACTCAAGGTTCCAGTGATGTGTAACGTGCCCTTTTAGGTCAAAGGTATGTGTTTTTTGCAACATCAGTCCCGTGTCTGATTCACAAATTTCGCTTGAATTAATTTGTTTTGAAACCTAGGTAGATATATAGCTTTTGAAAATGTGTTTGTTTTTTTCCCTTTTTTTGGGAGGGGTAGAGAAACTGTGTTGCTTGTTGTCTTAGCTTTGTACTTTTTGACCTTAAAAAATTGATGCTTAGAGTACGGATACTGCTTTTAGGGCTAGGACGGTATGTTGTATATATACATGTGGGTGGGTGGATTTAGGTCTCTGTGTTTGTGTGTGTTTTGTTGCAGGATACATTTTAGGGGTTTTCTCGATTCAATTCCATTCGTTTTAAAATTTGAGTTTTTCCGAATTGATTTAATTAGTTCAAATTTTTGGGGGTGGTTTCGATTCAATTTGGTTAAAAATAGGGATTTTATTTCTATGCATTCTAAAGTCCGGGCTTTATTTATTTATTCCTTTTTTGATTTTGAATGTTCGATCTTTTTTTTTTTTTAAATTCTGGGAAATTTTTCTGTGCTATTTCTTATGTTAGGATATCTGTAATGATTTTCTGATTTGTGTTGTGATTTGTGTGTTGTCAATGATGTTTGTTTGTGTTTTGTGGAATTGATGGAATTTTAATTTGATTGATTGAGTGATGAGAGATGGATTGAGGATCAATTTGAAATTAGGCCTTTTTTTTTTGTGACGTTTGAAGTATTTTTAGTGGATTGGTAAGTGAAAACAAAGGAGGCATTTAGAGATACAGTTGGCCTCATCAAGGCTATAAGCTACGATATGGCATACATGTTTGCCTACAGCATGAGGGAGAAAACTCATGCGCATAGGAACTATACTGATGATGTTCCTGAAGTTGTCAAGCAAAGGAGGCTGACAGAAATGATAGAGACCTTTCGTGAGAGTACTGGTAAGAGGTACGATTTTCAGGTTGGTACAATTCAGCTCGTGTTAGTTGAAGTAGTATCCTTATTCCGAAGGTACTGTCGTACTGAATCTGCTATGGTATCTCTATCTATGTATGATGTATCTCAATCTATGTATGATTGGCTCCTCAATTTGTGTATGATTGGTCGTTTGACTGCGATATGACATCCTGAATTGATTTGCATCTGACTAGAGATCTGAACCAACATTCTATTTTCCAATACTCATATAGTCATATGTCTCTTTTATTTTTATAGTTCTGTATTTCATAACTTGTCTTTTTGTTTTGTATGTCTCACTGTATGCTGAAACGATATCTTTACTAAGAGAGCTATTCTTACACCAATGAACTCAAATTGCAACCACTAAGACAGCTAGATTTCTAGCCTTTTTTATTTTTATTTTTTTATTTTTTTTATTTTTTTATTTATTTTTTATTTTATAGTTTTGTATTTCATTACTTGTCTTTTTGTTTTTTATTTATTCCAAAATGTTAATTTTCTCAACACAATTCAATTTTATGTTCTTGCAATTTGCCTATTTAGCTGTGTTGAATCATCAGTTTGCTATTATTTTATTAACAAAGTGGATACCTTCAGTTGAGCCCTCTTTTTTGCTTCTATTAACAAAGTGGATAATGCAAAGATAATGGAAATTTGACATGGAGTAAAAGCTAGCGGAATGCTGGCTTGCTTACTATTATATCAATATTGCAGTAGCTTTAGAAGCTAATCCATTTATGTGGCATTCCCGAGTTGATGTATTAATGGTTCCTTTTGGCAATTGTAAGGTAGACCTAGCTTCCACCTTTATTGGTTTTTGCTGTGTGTTGCTGCAACGGCTGCCAGGGCTCTTAAGTCAGTTCCGGGAATTGTGTTGTCTTCTGAAAGGTAATGAACTGCTTTTAATGTGATACGAACCATACTTTTGCAGCCCTAAGGTTTTATCTTCATAATTAATACTTGTTTAATTTATACTAATTTCACTTGCTATTGCTTGCACTGATTTGCACTTGTCTTTTTGTTCAGGGAATTTTGCAGTGGATCCTCCCAGCAACGGTTGAAGTTTGCAACTACTTATGTAAATTATAGTTAATCAGTAGTGCAGTTTCTTTTGTAGGGGTTAAAAGCGCATACATTAGTATGTGTTGTTTAACATTACCCAGGTATCTGACTTAACCTAAATCTTTTGAGGGGTTTTAAAGGTGACATAAACAATTAGTATATGTTCCTAGAAAACACCCAAGTACAACATTAACTGTGCTTAGCAGTTTTTCTAAGCTTCTATGTATAAAAGCTTTATTATTAATATATGCCTATTACCGTTGCTTTAAGCTTATATTAGAGCATGCTTTTGACTTGCAATAATTCTTTTAAATTACAGTTGCTTTGGATGTTAAAGATACACTTGCAGCTCTGAAATTGCAAAACACAGATTGTTACAATTATCAAAGAACTACATTTGCAACATTTCTTTTAAATACAACTCCTACATCAGCATGACTTTTTAAAATTGAGCATAGTCCACTTCTGAAACATCATAACCAAACTGAATCACTCTGAATTTATACTTACTTTATCATCAGACCAATGCACTAATTTCATACAATAAGTATAACAATTTAACAACAAACATAGGTTACTGTTTCGGGGTCTTTTGATGTGTCCTGCGGGAGAGTTACAGCACCAGAACTGGGATCGACCGCCTGTACTTGCAAAAGCACGGAGACTCCGGTTGATAGGAGTTCCGCCTCCGACGATCAAGTTAGAGTGCGTCTGGGTAACAAAGGACGCGGAAGGTAAATTGGTCTCTCGGATTCCGGGAGATTCTGCAATTAATATTGCTCGGTAAATGTGTTTGTATTATGACTGAGTCAATTGTGTAATAAATGAGGACTTTCCCCTATTTATAGTAGAAGAAAGAATGTTCCCCCATTAGGGTTATCTTGCCACGTGGCAGCCTCTGATTGGATGTCATTGACCCTCTACGGGGATGACACGTGTCAGCCCCCCATTTGGCCACGTGGCAGGGGTAATTTTTACCCCAAACATTTGCCCCTCACAGGTGTGACATGGCTGGCCACGTGACACCTGTGACATTTGTCACATTCTGGGAAGGTGACCGTTCGTCTCCCTCCCTCTATTTTTTGAATTTGAAATTTTGGGAAGAGGAAGTGATGGTTCGCCTTCTGGGTTTCCCTATAAGTAGGAACCGCCCTCCTCTCATTCCACACTTTTGCAAATCTTTGAGAAAATTTCCTTGAGAGAAAAAGAGAACACTGATCACGGCTGCTCTTTCTTTCAAACAGCTTTTTAGTTCCAATACGTCCGGATATCGGTTGAGTGCTTCTTCGCTCGTCTCACTAAGGTACCGTTCTGACTTAGTCAGCTTCTTCTTCTTGATTTCTGATAGGGCCACAACCGGTCTTACACCGTCTGGGGCATCTTTAAGCAATTCCTCATGAATTGCATTCAATAGACCCACATCCGGTTTACACCGTCTGGGGCATCTTTAGGCAGCTTTCTTTTTTGAATTGCTTCACTAGACCCTCAGCCGGTTTACACCGTCTTGGGCATCTTCAAGCAATTTCTTTCATGACTTGCGTTCAGTATACTCACAGCCGGTGTAATACCGCTCGGGGTATCTTTGAGCAGTCTTCAAAGCCAGCTTTCATCAGACCCTCAGCCAGTCTTATGCCGTCTAAGGGACTCTTGGGCGGCTTTCTTAATAATTGCTTTCAATAGACCCACAGCCGGTTCTATACCGTCTGGGGTATCTCTGAGCAATTTTTCCTCATAAGCTGCTTGCAATAACCCTCAGCCGGTAACTCACCGCCTGGGGTATCTTGGGGCAGTTTTCTTTGAGAACGCCAGCCCATTTTCTTTCTTTACATTTTTCAATACGACCACAGCCGACCTCTTCCACATGTGGTTCCTTTGAGTCACTATATAATAACGATTGCTTTCTTTACGAAATTTCAGTTGCAATTCAAAAGGATACCGTCTGGGGTATCTTCAAGCAACAACTCCAAGCTCCTTTTGTTAGCAAGCTTTTTCTTCTACTTCAAGGTACCGTCTCTGTCCCTTGCAACTTTTTTGAGTTGTTTTCTGGCTGCATAGGTTGTTAGAATAATGGATTCACCCAACACACACACGGGACACTACGATTTAGGGGTCAACCGATCCCCTGGTACGGCTGAGTCTAGGACTGGGGGAGCCGCCTCTGGGATTCCCCTTGTTCATCTCCCAAATCGACCGTCTCTGTCTCTGTGCAGGACGCAATGGCTCGGACTAGGAAAACAGCCGTAGATCCAGAATATAGAGGAGAAACCTCTGAAGAATTTCCGCCTGGATCTAATCAGGCTGAGATGACAAGGGAATCCCCGAGAGGTACCCCAAGCACACCCAGTGATAGAATTCTGGGGTCAAATAATGAAGGCGGCGATGATACCGCCTCTCCTTCCAGGATTGAGAAGGAAGGATCTTCTGGGGATGAGAGCAACGGGGAGACCGCCTCTTCCTCAGGCTCTGAGCAAAGCAGTAGCAGTAGCTATCTTACACCGGTTGTAGATAGCGAGGAGGAGGAGAGGCCCACGTGGAATAATAAGGGCGATCCCCTCCTAATCGCCGTCTCTGCTAAAGACCGGGCTAGCATGGCTAGAAATCTAGGGGACTTTATCCGCATGCGGCCTCTAGGAGTGGATTACAAAATTATCGTGTCGCCTGAGATGGGCACAATAGTTTGGGAAGACAACCAGCGAAATGCAGACGGATACTTTGGCTGCTACGAGGCGGCCTTTCTAGCCGGCCTACGCTTCCCTCTTCACAACACTATTAAGGCCATCCTTCGAGGGTATGGTCTGGACATTTGGCAGTTAACCCCCAATTCCTGGGTTAACATCTTGGGGTATATTGCCGCCTGCGAGATGCAGAATCTAAACGCCGGCTGGGAGGCCTTCGCCCACATGCATTACTTAAGCCGGAGCCCAGGCGGATGGAGAGCCTGGTACACACTGACCACCTACCCCCAGTACCTGATGACACTGGACAAA